CGGGGGGGGGGGAGGGGAAGTGGCAGAAACGGCTGTTGCGCTTGTTTTTCGGGGAGTCCTCTGTGCGAAGGATGGAAAGAAAAGAAGAGAGAAAGGATGGCCACGATGTGCCGCAAGGGGACAATCGAGAAGGAGAAGCTCACGGAGGAAACGAGCACACCCGCTCTCGTGCATACGTGGCGGTACTCGAACCGCGACTGATTTCCCCTATCACTCCGTCCTCAGCTGCCACCCACTATCCGCCCCCCCACCACCCATCGGCTGAACCCCATCCCCTCCACTCTTCGACTCTGTGTCTCTCTCACTCGTCGTTCGCGCTCACGAACCAAGCTTGCTCGTTCCAAGCAACGGTGGAACGTCTGTTCCTCCCACTCTTCTCCCCACACCGCCTCTTGCCAACTATCCGCACCCCTTTCTCTCTACTACGCCGCTTTCTCCGTCTTTGTCTCCCTTTGCCGCACTTTGCACGCTCCCTCTTCCCCCCTGCCTCGCTAGATATATAGGGTGCGGTAAAAATCGTAATATAACTTCTGGAATGAAATGATTCTGCACTAGAAATGACGAGTCGGGAAACGGTGATCGAGCCCGTTCGCGCGCGCGATCGTTCGATCTCCGGAGGAATTGTTCGAAAACGTGCCGGATTAAAAACGCACGCGGTTGAAGTTACGAGTTGAGGACCAAGAGGATCAACCGCGTGCTTTTGGTGTTACCTGTCTGTCTGACCTGTAACGTCATCGATTCACCCCGGGTTTGAAAGTAGATCGGAAAGGTTAGATATCATATTAAGCAAATATTAACTAGGAGAGGAATTCGACCCGAAACCGTCGACGAGCAATGGCGCAGGTTAACGCAACGCAGCGAGCACTCTATTCGAGTCTCTCCGCGAACTCTCGTATATAGTGTTAGAGTGTGTAAGTCTCATCGGCAAGCGTCTACGCAGTTTCTCTCTGTCTCACGTTTCTCTCTCGTACTTTGTAGTCCGAGACCGTTAATGCAGAGAAGTCCGTGAGGCAC